TAAGGAGGCTTCAGTGGAGGGAGGTGTTAGTGCTTTGAGCGACGATAAGAGATTGGGTAGCGCCTTGGGCGATGCCAGGAGGCTAGGCAGACACCTTGGGTGATAACAAGAGGTTGGCATGAGGCCTTGGGCGACGCCAGGAGGCCTTGTGTGCTGATGTGTTGGGGCGACACCTTAAGTCTTGTTATGGGCGGTATCTTTCCAGTGCTTTTAGGGTGATGTCTTTCCCTCCTCTCAAGAAGGCGAGGTTTGATGCCCCAAGTGCTTCTAAGTTAAAGGTCTGATGGCTAAGTTGTCTCTTGGGAGATGGGACCTTGTGATGCCCCCACTCTTTCTAAGACTGGGACTTATGTGTATGCCAGAGCTAGCCCTTGCACTGTTGTAGGAGTTGAGACTCCAATGCAGTTTTGCTACGGAGACTGTAGCTCCACATAGTTGTCCTACTTCTAGTAGTGGCTGAGTGTCAATTTAATATAGTCCCGTGGGTTGCAAACGGTCTAAGCTTCAAAAGTATGTCTAGCAAAAATAATGTTATCCCAACATTAGAATATCTAACATGATTACCTGGAGAGAGAGACAGACTGTTTGCATGAGAGCAAAGTCAAAGATGTGTACATCCCGTGAGAGGGCCGCATGAGCTGAGGCCAAGCTACGTATAGTCTCAGGGAATGGCTATTGTGGCAGAGACTTGTCACACATAGGCTGAGCTACATATAGTCTCGGTAGATGACTGCCGTAGTAGAGACTTACAAGGTGACTACATATGTGAGAGCAAAGTCATATGGCTGCCGTAGCAAAGGCTAGATAAGGCTGAGCTTCTTTGCGACTCGCGAGAGAGTGTGAAACTGGAGATATAGGGGGGGCTGAAGAATAGTTGGTGCTTGAGCGGCAAGCACGAGAGGAAGCTATGGAGCTTACATGGCAGGCACAAGAGGATGCCGTAAACCTGTTAGGGCTCGAGTGGCAGGCACGAGAGGATGTCGCTGAGAAGTTGAGGCTAGCGCATGAGAGGGCTGCCCAGCTTTGAGGCTGACCTTCGAGTAGCACTTGAGAAAGTTACTAGGACAGAGGCTCACTCCATAGAAATGGAGGAGATGAGCAGGGCGCCGAGGAGATGAGTAAGGCGCTAAGGAGCTGGGTGCCCGAGGCTGGGTGCCTGAAACTAGGCTCCTGGTGATGAACGCCTCCTGCCGGGCGCGTACGCTGAGGGGCTCTGGGTGCCATTGGGCGTGGACGTCGAGGGATGCTGAGCGTTGCTTGGCATGGACGCCGAGGGGGTGCTAGGCACTTGTTGATGAGTGCCTCATGTTGGGTGTTTAGTGATGGATGGGCACCTAGTGGTTATGGGCACTTGGTGCTGGGCTCCTGGATGCCACTAGGAATGGACGCCGAGGGGCTCTGGGCGTCTTTGGGAAAGGACACCGAGGAGCTCTAGACATGGACGCCGCTGGGTATGGACGTCGAGGGGTGTTGGGCGGCGCTGGGCGTCGACGTCGAGGGGCGATGGGCGATAGGCACCACTGGGCATGGACACTGAGGGGGAGCTGGTGCTAGGAGTAAAGAGGTCCTTCTTGGGTGGCATGTAGAAGGTGGGCGACAGTAAGCCTGGTGGGCGACAACCAGACTGGGTGTTGTCGACCTGGGTGATGCCAACCTAGGTGTTGGCCTAGGCGGCACCTGCTACTAGGCGCTTGATGAGAAGGCCACTGTTGATTTCTCTGGTTTCGTCCCCTATGAGACACTAGTAGTAGTTGGTGATGGGAATAGCCTTGATTATAGTGGTTGTGACTCACGAAGCAATGATTGATCGTCAAGAGTTTGACGACTGTTGTCCTTTTGTCTACACCTAGTTGTTAAGCCATGTTCTGACTTTTATAAGTTCTTTGTAAATTTTAGGAAACAAGACAATTCTGGACACAATAATCTTCACAAAATTTTATTGTATAAGATAATAAATAACAAAATAAATTAGTTAAAACAATAAAGGATAGATAAATCTTCAGGTGCTCAGTGTCCCATAGATGGGTTGAGACTTTCTTGGTGGAGTTCGAATCAACTCCTCCACCTGGCCCTTAGGAGATCGTCTGGATTTCTTTGAGGGGTTGCTGGCATTCTTTGTCATTTTGGTCCGGGCCAGGTGGCGGAGCTTGTCCTCTGCCAGCAATGTACTGCCTTAACTGGCCACGCTGTATGAGCTCCTCGATCTGCCTTTTAAGATCAAAGCAGTCGTCAGTATCACTGTCGTGGTTGTAGTGGAAACGGTAGTACCTGTTAGGATTTATGCGGTTTGGAGCAGACTTCATTTTTTCGGGCTAGTGGAGTGTAGGGTCATCTTGTATCTGAAATAGGATGTGCTCCACCGAGGCGTTGAGTGGCGTGAAAGACTGTCGTTCTCTCAAGGCTATAGGACCGAGACGGTCCTTGACTGAGACTCTCTCGGTTCTCTTTCTCTTGTTCTCCACCTCCCACTTGTCTTCGTGGGTGTCCTTTTTCTTCCCTCCTTGGGAGGACTCACCCCGATGGGCTTTGGTGACATCTTCGGCATTCATGAATTTATGTGCCCTAGACAGCAGCTCGGGTATGCTGGAAGGCGGCTTCTTGAGGAAGGAGAACATAAAGCTGGAGGAGCGCAAGCCTATGATAAAAGTGGCCAGGGCTACCTTGTCATCTGGCTCCTCTATCTGGAGAGCCTCCTCGTTGAAGTGGGCAAGGTAGTCTCTAAGGTTTTCATCCCTGTCCAGGAGGGCTTGATCTTTGCAAACCATTGGCATGCAGACTCCTTGAGGGTGGTAGGGAAGGCTCTACACATAATCTCTTCAGGCACGTTGTGTAGTTGCATGAGGAATTTATAGGTGTCTAGGTGGTCAATGGGGTCTTTGGTATCGTTGAAGATCTCGATGGTAAGCATCTTAAACTTTGAGGGTAAGAGATAATTGACTATGTCAGCAACAAAAGGTGTGTCAGTGCTTCTTACCAGGTAGTCTACTGTTTCGGGCGTTGTACCTTGATGGTGTTGAGAACATCACCGAGTTGGTTTTGCACCTCTCTAATCTTTTTGTCTCGCTGATTGGGGATATCCTCAGTCGGGTGGTGGTACTGACTTTCATGGTCTCCATATTGGCTTCCTTTGTCTTCGTTCTCCTGCACAGGTACGCGCGAAAAGGGTACGCAAAAGCTCCCTATGCGCTGGGGAGGGACTATTGGGCGAGGGGCGCCCTGGCGTGGCCCTAGAGTATTTTGGCGAGGGCCCCCATGGTGGGGGCAGTCTGGTGCCCAAAAGGGATAGGTTATTGCTTCTCTCCCATTGGAAGGAGTGGGACTCCTCCCACAAGGTGAAGGGTGACTCCCCCTTGGGCGAGCATCATCTGGATGATTTGTTGATTTTGGTTCACCAACAACTGCATGGTTTGGAGGAGTTGTTGTCTGACGACGAGGGTTGTCATAGCAGATGGTTCTACAGGTGCAAGGGGAGGTGGAGGCTCCTCCTGGTGGGCCGGGTTGTTGTCTCCCGGTTGTTGACTCATTAATCAGGTAGTGATTGTCATAGATTTGAAAGAGAGTAGGAAAATTAGTCGTTTCCCACATACGGCGCCAAACGGATGATGCACAAATTGACTTTGTGCAAAATCAACAATCAAGAATGTGTAAAGATGCAGTTAATGACCAATAAAAAGGCAATCAATGGTAAAACAGTAAATAAGANCCATCACTATCGTCGCCACCACCACCATCGCCGCTGCCACCATCGCTGCCGCCACCAAAACCATCACCGTCTCCTACCACCACTACCACTGTCACCCACCACTTCTCACCTCTACTATAAAACCGATGTTTAAATTCTTTTATCTCTTCTTTTTATTTGTAATTTGATTTTAGATTTGAATACAAATATATTTATTATTTATCATTTTTTATTATTGTGTACCTTTAGATACAGGTAATAACTAGTAAATAAATATTGTATATGCANTCATTTTTTATTATTGTGTACCTTTAGATACAGGTAATAACTAGTAAATAAATATTGTATATGCATATATTAAAAGATATATAGGTAAATAATATATAAATCAACACACATAATTAATTTTTCGTCAACTTTTCCTCTTAATTTTAAAGAAATTGATTTTGATGAGTTGGACACAACCGATCCTTCCAATTTTTTATCTTTCCTATTTTTCTTCTTTACCAAACATGATACTTTTTTTATTCCTCTAATTTTTCATCCTTCTATTTTCTATCTTACCAAACAAAGCATAAAAGAGGAAAAAGGTGGTGGCGGAGGCTGGGGAAGAAAGGACCGTGCCACCAACAACGACCGGGTTAAAGGTGGATATTCTCAAACTTCAATTATGTTAGTTTGGAGGAAAATGCCATCTGACTAATAAATCGAAGGGACACAAGTGAAAACTAGCCCAAAGGTTCATAAAATGTTATTGCAGCTTTTTTTATTTATTTTATTCTTTAATTGGTTGAGTTTCATTTTGTCCCCCAAAAGATTCCAGAATTTTACTTTGCCCCTTTAAAGTTTAAAACTCTCATATTGTCCCCTAAATTTCTTTTAAAATTTAGGACAAACATGTTTTTTTGAGGACACATCACTACCATCTAAAGAAATTCAAGGTGTAACATGAGATTTTGGGACAATTAAGGGATGAAGTGCCATTCTAGTTGTTAGTAATTCTTTTCGATAACCAATTTTCTGTGCATTGCAAGGGTATACAGATAGCAAGCTAGAAATATGTGAGAGGAGTCAAATAGGAGCAAAAAAGGAACAAAAACAATGATGCCACAAATATATTCAACAGTCACCTACACTTGAGGACCTGCTGTCATCAGAAACAAAGTATAGTTGACTCAAGTCACCTACACAAAGCATAAAATTTATACTATAAATTTTTAAATGAGCTTTCCACTTCTTCCAGTTTCTTCTCACCAGGAAATGGATTCCACTTCATTCGCAGGAAGACTGATTTGCGGAGGGGAACCTATGGGTTCGCTTATCTGTAGGACCTTTCAGTTTGTTTTCCTCCCGGCTTTATTCGCCTAGCTGACGAACTCACAACCTTATAGTGGTTCCCAAATCTGAGAGCGACAATTGGTTTCATATACAACTGTCCAGGGAAGTTCCTTTTATCGTTTGGAAGTACTTGTAACTCCGGCAACCAGAACGCTACATATTCTCCCTCGGGATCATAATTTTGCGCCTGAAAAATAGACTGATGACTTAGGACCCCGTCAATAAACACTGACAGGACAGATCACTAGACTCGGTAGTTTTGAATTACCACAAAATCCAAGGCTAACTGGGAGTTCCACCAATATGGGGGTGGTTGCCCCCTTTGGCTACTTAGCCTTGCCTTGAGCATAAAAAAATGTAAAACAGGACTTCCTTAAGAGGTCAATTTGGACTTTTCCTTCCGTCCACGTTAGCACCCTACCATCAATAAAACTAATATCTAGTTTCCCTTCAGGTTTTTCCAATCAACCAGGAGACATTTAAGAGTGTTAAAAAAGAGAGAGAGAGAGAGAGAGAAATATGAAACAAAAATATCAATAGAATATAGGCTTTGTTTAAGACAATAATCTCAACAGAGGACAGGCTCATCTCATGAGTTATTTACCAAATTACCGCACTTTTAAAACAAATATAAAAAAATAAGGTACTTTTGCACTTATTTACCAAACTTCAACACTTTTTAAAAGCAAATTCAATAACTCCATTTTTATTAAATAAAAACAGAGTCAATAACTCCGCTTTTGTAGTTAACAACCTTGTTTCAAAAAAAAAAAAAAGGGCAGTGGAAAAAACGTGTTCAGTAAACATGCTTTTCACACAATTTTTCTTTCCAAGTCTTTCTTGTCAAATTTTCCAATTTTGTTATTGATGATTGTCTTTCTGCGTCCATCTCTTGCTTCCATCTAGTTTAAGTGGAAGGTTCAAGTAACACTAGCACCTTTTATCACTCCATTCCCCTCCGCGCCTAAAACTACAATAATGAATTGATTCACTCATGAACCTGCACCTACACATTCCGTCCCCTCACTCCATGTGTACTTAGTACTAACTAATCAAAAATGAGATAAAAAAAACATTATAAACCCTTACAGCCGAAAGAAACTGAATCTCAAATAGAGGTGGCAATCAACTCGTGTCGTATCAAATTCGTATTAAATAATTACGGGTTTGTATTGAATATTAATCAAACCTAACTTACCTCATTTAANGCACCTACACATTCCGTCCCCTTACTCCATGTGTACTTAGTACTAACTAATCAAAAATGAGATAAAAAAAAACATTATAAACCCTTACAGCCGAAAGAAACTGAATCTCAAATAGAGGTGGCAATCAACTCGTATCAAATTCGTGTTAAATAATTACGGGTTTGTATTGAATATTAATCAAACCTAACTTACCTCATTTAACTAATTGTGTTGTGTTGAGTTGCGAGTTGATCTGTTTAAAAATGATATTTTCAAAACATTAGTCGAAATATATCAAAGTATCTTGAAATATTTCAAAACAATTCTGCAAATGCATTGAAATATTACAAAATACCTCAAAACATTATGAAACACCTCGAAATATTATAATTTTAATTTTATCACTGATTCATTTCGGTCTCCTCAGACACGAAAACGTTTCAAACGTTTTGAAACGAAATTTAGATTCTTGCAAGCANACCTCAAAACATTATGAAACACCTCGAAGTATTATAATTTTAATTTTATCACTGATTCATTTCGGTCTTCTCAGACACGAAAACGTTTCAAACGTTTTGAAACGAAATTTAGATTCTTGCAAGCATACTTAAACATCCATCTTCATGACTCTAAAACAAACTAATGGTACAATGATGTGCAGGTTATGACGTCTCCTTTCGAGCTACTAATACTATCATCTGTCTTAGAAGCAAATATTTATAGCTGTTAAATTGAACCACACTGCCACCCCTTCAATAGAAACTAGGCTCTGCCATGGCAAAAAAACCTTTGGCACCAGATCTAGGCTTTCCCTTTTCCCTTTTTATCTTTTTTCCAGCAAAAAGGAATATTTTGATTAAGTTACTTTTCAATACTAATCTTTGAATACACTTACTTGTTTGGGAATGCTGAAGTAACGATCCTCTCTCGGATCATTCCCAACGCCTGCAAGAAAGAAGAGAATGTTCCAAATCTTATCAGAGTTTACAAAAACAAATCTCATACAAAATCTGAAACCTGGAAAATATAAATAAACAATTCAATGGATTCAATTCATCGAAATCATGCCCATTTGGTCTTTCTATTATTCAATTAAATTGCCAATTATGTCATTCATAATGGAAATCTAAGCAACTTCGAAACTAACCTCAAATATGAAAATGTATCTCTCACTCAAAGTCAAAAAGCGTCCACATATCACTTCCTTATAGAAGAGCTAATAATAAATTTGAAATATCACAGCAATCCTTTACTAGGAGGGGAGTTAAACTGGAGAAGCAGGAGTGACCATAACCAGGAAGAGTAGGAAAAAGGGGTTCGGGTGGGAGGACTCGAGCTCCCAATTAGTTCAGGCACTGTTGTATGGACAGTAAGATCCCCTGGTAGGCGGACACAATAATTATCTCTCCCCAACTGGATTTTTGTATGCATGTGTACTGTGGCATATGAGTAAAGAAAGTACTTATACCACCGGTATTCTCGCATACCGACTGAGTTACCTATACAGGCAATCCACAACTCCATGTGTGTGTGATCACATTGAAATATTCTCATTATGAACTTTGCTGGGCTAGTGTTTTCACAAAAAATCTCAACCAACATTCCTGCCAGATCTTAACATCAAATGTATTGGTCCTAGGTAGAAATGATCAGTCCAACGATTTCTTTGTTCACAATGCCTCCTAATTTCTAGGAATTAGGCATTTCAACGCTGTGCACGCCTGTCATTTGTACCCACAACCATCTCTACAACAATTGCATGGAATGTCACGCTATGCATGCCATGTGTCCAAAACATTAGTTTAGTATAAATGACATTTCTCAGATAACCCATGTCTTCGAGGTAGGAGAGTCGTGGGCTGAATCCCCGCAAGCTCCATCAGTGTCGTTTCCATCATCATCTCTTCCCAATTTAGAAGATTTGGCACTGACTAGTAAAAGAGAGTTACTGCTCGTGTGGATCAATGGAACTCTTTGGCTGAGATCCATGTGCCTGAAAGAGGAAGACCCCTTCCGCATCACAGTATTTCTGGTAGCCACTGCCATGCTGCAGCTATTTGAAAATCAACTGTATGGTCAACTTCTTTCAATGTTTGGTGCCGATGGAAAGAGAACAGTAGCTCATTCACCATGAGGAACATTATGCTCGTAATGGTAAAATGAAATGTTGAACACAATAATAATACCCATATCCTTTGGCGAGCATCAACATTCCATTTNGTATGGTCAACTTCTTTCAATGTTTGGTGCCGAAGGAAAGAGAACAGTAGCTCATTCACCATGAGGAACATTATGCTCGTAATGGTAAAATGTAATGTTGAACACAATAATAATACCCATATCCTTTGGCGAGCATCAACATTCCATTTCAGTGCTTATTTTCGATCAGCTCGGAAACAAAAACTCTTTGAAAACATTTCAGGAAAAAAAATGAAAATTTATTTCCAACACATTCTGAATTATTGGCCGAAACATACCGAAACACCTCAAAAGATAAAGATTTTGATATTCAATCATCAATTCATTTATTTCCATGGAACTGAAACGTTTCAGTTGTTTTGGTGGAAAANCGAAACACCTCAAAAGATAAAGATTTTGATATTCAATCATCAATTCATTTATTTCCATGGAACTGAAACGTTTCAGTTGTTTTGGTGGAAAAAAAATGAAATCTTGATTCTTGTCCTCCAGTAGCTCAGGACAATAAACATGTGCCTAGTAGATTTGAATGCCCAGTGAAGTCATCCATTGCATTTCATCATGGACCTCCCCTATATGCTTAGCAATTGCTTCCAACTCCACACTAAATCTTCCCATCATAGGCATATGAACCAAATCAATTGATATCATTGGTTTTAATCCCGACAATACCTCAAAAGACCATGCCCAGTACTCTACTAAAAAAACCTGTTTAAACAAATTCGACAATGGGAAACCCCCAAGCCATAGATAAGCCAGCCAGGAGTCAACATTACAAGCTTGAGCTCTTCGTGGAGCCACCCCCATGCATTTATGATAGTAATTACTCGTTGCATGTGGGACTAGGGAACTAGATGTGCCCAGGACGATTAGTTGTGCGCCTAAGAAGCTCAGGTACATAGTAGTGCAAAGTAAAGAAAAAAGAAAATTAGCCATAGCAAGTATTTGGAGCCAATCTGTAACATGGTGACGCAGGACAATCAAATGGCCACCATCAAACACATCAAGAGATCACCAAAGATTTGGTTAGTGACCTCAGGTTTCTCAGCCACTGATTACGAAAAGTTATTTTGACAATCAAAAACTTCCACAAGGTTCCCCAAAGAAGGTCATATGCCGGGAAAAGAGTTCAGTGATATGGACACATCCGATGTCTAAGTACAATTGTCCATGGAACGAAATGCACTATTTTTGAGAACCAATCGACAACCACATACATAGAAACAAACCAAAGAGAGATTTTGACAACCTTAGGGCAAAGTTCATGCTAAGGTCTTGCACTCATGACTACAATAATATTTGATAGTAATACAGGGTTTTTTAGTTGTATTTCTCTATTGGAAAAACAAGGGAAATTTCGTAAAAAAATGTGCTCCTAAATTGGACCTTTCACTACAAAGGAATTCCAATCAGCACCAACTCTTTCTGTCGGATATTTTCAGGCTTCAACTGTGAATTGAAAATAACCCAATAGATGCTCTTCAGTTGCTTGATGTCAGATAGGCAACCATGGTGGAAATACTAAGGCTGATAGGCACGCAATTCAACCTTTGCTGGCAGATACTGCTTGAGGAAGTCCTAATTTGTCATGATTTTGCAAAAAGTGGCATAGCTTGTTCATATGTTTTCCTTAAAAACAAATTGGGTTTAGTCTTCCCTCTTCACCACTTCCCAAAATAACACTATGGTTGCTGAAGGACCTACTTCAAATAAGATACAATCCTAAAAATGTGCAAGAAACATAAACTCACAAAAAGCATAATATAAGCAGGTTCACACATATATAAAAATATACATGCTCTTAATGCAAGGTATCAAAAAGGAATAACCTGCTCCATAGGTCCAATTACCATAGTTGGAGCATGGGTCATAATCCAAAAGGCACGTCTCAAACCATTCAGCTCCCATTCGCCAATCGATTCCCATGTCTCGAACAAGAAAGGAACATACGATCTGGAAAAATATAAATAACCTGTTGAAGAGGACTTTAAGGTGTAAACGAACACACTGTTTTTCGTTTTTGTTGTTTTGTTTTTCCCTTGTCCTCACAAAAACATAACAATCAGATATGAAGTTTGAAGCAAGTGATCTTATGGTTGCAAACTAGTACATCCACCTGTGGTATGTTTCACAAAAGAAAAGTACAACTACACATGGTTGTTTTACCTGTCGTCCTCGGTTTGACATGAACCCTGTGGTTGATAGTTCTTTCATATTAGCATCTATGAGTGGGTACCTAAAATTTTAACAATTGTAAATGAATCAGTTTAGGGCCCTACATCTTTACTGATCTGTTGGAAACCACATAAATTTCTTTTTCTTTTTGTTCCCCTTAGACGTAAAAACAAAACCAGAACCTGGAAAAAACCACATCCTTGTTAAGAAGAAAGTGAGAATTTTTTTCCAAATCAAGACCAAAAAAGTGAAGGCCTTTTCTAAATTGGAACGACATAAAACAAATAGAATCATCTCTTCATTTTTTTTATTTTTCTTTTCTTATAGATTGATTAGAACAATTCTAAATTAGATGAAACAAAGGGCTGATTCTATCACCCTATGGTGACAGACTCAGACTAAACAATATACCCTGTACGGCCATCTCTCCAAGCTTCAAACAAAATCTGGTCCTGGCTCCAGATAGACTCAACTTTTCTTGGGCCACCTGAAGATAGAAAGAAGAATCCCTAGATAAAAATGTCTGGAAATACAAAATATTCTGACCATTATTACTTTACATTTACTTTCGAATCCCTCAACAAAGCAGGCATATGATAATTATGGCAGAGCACCCACATTCTGCTATATACAGCTATATACAAATAAACAGTACTTCTAGTGTCTCACAATTTGGCACCCTATTTTGGGAACCCAACCTTTTAAAGAACCAATTTTTTTTTTTGCGTCTAAGAGTGTGTTTGGGGCAAGGATCAATATTTCATTTTGATGCATTATTTCGATCACCTAGGAAACGAAAACTTTTCAACATGTTTTGAAAACATTTTGACCTGTATCAAAAACAGAATAAAATAAATAAATAAATAAATAAATAAATAAATTATTTTTTTCAAAATATTGGTCAAAATATACCAACATATCTTGAAATACCTTGAAACATTCCGAAATAATTGTACAAACGCATTAAAATATAACAAAACATTTTGAAACATTATAGAACACCTCGAAGTATTAGAATTTGGATTTCATCACCGATTCTTTTCAATCTCCTTAGAAACGAAAACGTTTAAGATATTTCGACCGTTTTGAAATGATATTTTAATCTTTGGTTTGGGGTCAGTTAAAAAATAAGTGTTTATTAGATTCTTAACTTATCACAAGTGCTTTCATAAAAAAAAAATAGTATTTGGAATAAATTATTAAAAGTACTTTTAAAAAAGTAAAAACTATTTTACCACTTAAATAAAACCCAAAAGTAAAAGTTAAAAAATAAGGCTATTACTTATTCAAAATCACTTCAGCCCAGCCACTTGTATTTAATTTTTTTTTCTCCCAACTCATCGACTCTCTCGATAACTCATCTCATCTCATGGGTCTGTTAACAACCCTTTTTCTATTTTGGTGACCATTGACGAGGACGATGCTGCAGAGTTAAGCAATCACCAGCGATATCTTGACGATTCCCTTCTCTCTCCATTCTTCTAGTTGTTGCATATTTGACCCAATCCATTTGAAACAAGTATGAAATCTCATGTTTTCTTTCAACTTCTATTTCATCCGATTTTTCTTGGATTTATATATTATGTGGAACATATATGATAGAGTTGTCTATATCTCTCTCTATTCATCTCTGTTTATTCGTTTGGGAACCTAAATTTCTACCAAATAAATTGTTATATTATTGTTAGGGTTGTATTCTATTATTAGATGAATGCGATTTTAGCATTTGAGAGTTGTTTGTCCCAAATTCTATCATAATAGGTGATATGACAATGTTGTCTGATAAGCAACTTTAATGGAGTGCTCATTCCTATAAACTGTTTGATAAAATGCCTCTTAGAAATTTGTATTTGATTTGTGCTTGTGTGTGAGTCCACTCAATTCTTTTTAGATCCTTATAGCTCTCTTTGGCTTGCCGGTGTCTTTGCCAAAACTTCTTGGGCTGGTGCTACATTTTATTTATCGTGGTTTATGCTAGCTTGTCATGTAAGTAGCTCTCTGGTTATATTAGAATGGTATTGCTAAGAATCAAGTTTCACTGTAAGAGCTCTTTGCCTATATTTATATTCTTTTTGTTTGGATATCTAATCCATCCTTTCCCCTATTATTTATGTATGCTTTCCAGTGAAGTCTGCTTCTCTTACTAATAGATTCTATAGGATCTATGACAAGGATATTGACTTATTGTATTTGTTATACTAACCTAATGGAATTCAAAGGCAGTGTCACCTGGCCATAATGGTGTTGGCAACACAGGTGTGAATCCAACATGGAAAAATTTATAAGTTACATGAGGAACAGCCTTTACAAAATTTCCTTATCAGTCAAATTCTCATCTAATTTGGTTGAAAGTAGCTGCCTTTTGATTTTTCAAATGAGTTGAGGTTCAGTAAAGATCTTGTGTGAGTGACTTACAACAAGCTATACCTGATAGTATCAAGTGGTGATGCTAATCCTCTTAAGAAAACGTACCAAAGTGGTGATGCTTTCTTGGTATTTGCACATTCTTATTAGGAAATATAAGAAACAAAATAACTTTGTAGATAGGGATTTGCATCTTTAAGACGTGTGGCTTGACGTTTTTTTTTTTCAAGGTTAATGCTTGCTTCCTCTAAAATTATTGCTGACCATGGTATAGCCTTGCCTTCAGCCAATCAATATCCAATCCTAGT